CGCAGCTCGTCAGTGAACAACGGCTCTGTGTAGTTAATGCTGCTCAATGTGAAAGCCCGCAGGTGAAAGCCAGATTTACCGCTGATTACAGAACCTGCTTTCTGACAAGATGCGCATTAAATATCGCATTCGATTTATCGTGCAGCCCTAATACAGTGTATAATAATATGTATTATTTATAATAATTATTTATTTGTTTTGTATTATACATGTCTGAAATAAATATTCTAAAATATTTTGTCTACTTCACTTAAAAATAAAGTACCAAAAACTAAAATCAATCATTTAAAATAATTTAAAAGTGAATTTAGATGCAACGTTATAATTTACAGTATGAAAAATATATTCATTTTGAGATTTGCTAAAGAGCACAGTTAAGTGTTATTAAATTACTAGTGTTTTTAAAGTGCCCTATTACGCGTATTTACAGGTTCATAATTTTGTTCAGGTTGTCTATCCATCTATCCATCTATCTATCATCTCAGGCTTATTGCAGACTTATTCCTATACTGAGTAAAAAGGTTATAAAATATTCCATCCTAAATTAATGGCCATGCTCTATTGGGAAGTCGTCTTTGGTCTTTTTTTTTCATGCTGTTCAGTTTAAAAATCTGGTAAGGCTAATAAAATGTAATTTAGCCTCCTTTCAAGTTTTACCACAGTAAACTTTCCATGCCACTTCTTCCAAGTATACGGCAAACAAGCCTCCATGGTTCATTGAGAAAGAGAGGGCGAGCGAGAGGAGAAACATGAGGTTTGAAAATAGAACATGTAAAAATACACGGCGAGGGAAACAGACTTGGTTTTGTTGATCTGAAGAGTAGCGAGTTTGTGAACTGTTTTATTGGGCTTTAGCCGTTCACACGGACAGCCTCCGGACAGCCTGGCGGCGGAGTGCGAGTCACAGCGTTTGCTGCTGTCAGACGCTGACACACACACACAGACTTTAAAAAACTCAGACTTTAAAAGTCCCAGCGAGGGCCGGCATTTCTGAAAACTGCACCTCGTACTCCCGAGATGTGGCTAAAAGTTGAGATTAAAAATACATTATTCTGTAACAGCCACTCCCACATTCAGCCTCGTATCTTCACAGGCCTCCACGTGTTGTTAAACGCAGGGGTTGATCTGCAGTTATGACTGTATCCATTGCTTATGAAAAGCAGGAGAGAAATGGCTGTCACCGAGGTGAGACATTCTGAAAGGAGCAAATAGTGGGTGAACTTTAAGTCTTTGGCTGTTTATTTGATAGCCCACCTTTGCCTACTTCAGTCTGTGGTATTCGGTATTCTGGTGTTGCTCATTCTTTTCATGACTAAGGGCGCCTACATGCTAGAGTTTTCGCTGCGTCAGATGCTCCGAATCTGTTGAATTCAACAGGGATGGTTTGCGTAAGTTTCAGGAATGAACTTCAAACTTATCCGCCTTTTTCCACAGAGCATCCTACTCATCAAATGCTTTCTCTAGTGTGTTAGCAGCGCCCCTCAGGCTAACCGAGTCTCTTCCTATGACTCAGATGCGCGCTGTAGTGACCAACGCTTCTCTTGCTCTCTTCATATTTCTTTATGTCTCCCCATCCCATGTTCTGGCTCTGCTGAGTTGTGCTTCATCCTTAGTGTGGGAGCATTCGTGCCTGTTCAACCGGTGCCACGCAGAGCTCTGAGTCATTCCCGCTGCCCCGAATCTGTGTCACTGTGCTAGTTCGTGCCTGCATGTTCACTGCTGGAGTCGAATGATCTTAAAGGTTCAGTGAGCTGCCAGATGAGGTATATGCTTAATTAAATGTTAATTTAAAATAGGCTTGCGTGCCGTGACCACCCGTAGACCATCGAATACGGGGAGTGCTTACACATTGACAGCTTCCCACAGTGTGAATTATTTGTTATTTAAAGGGATAGTTCCCATGAAAATGAAAAATCTGTCATTGTTAAAGTTGTTCCAAACCTGTATGAATTTCTTTCAGATGTTGAACACAAAAGAAGATATTTTGAAGAATGTCGGTAGCCAAACAGTTGACTGACTTCCATATAATTTTTTCCATACTATGGAAG